GTATCAGGCATTCAATTAAAAGTGAAATAAAAATTTACGGGGGTTTTCAATAAATAAGGTTGAATTTTTCCGTATAGGGACTTCTAATACAGATAGAATGTTACTTTTTTTTTTTTTTATCAACATAGTCTCCCAGCACTGTCACACACTTTTCCCATCTGTGCACAAGCATTCAAATTCCCTCAGCAAAAATCTTTCACTGATGTCTCAGCAAGTCTCTTGGAAAACTCAAATGGCCTTTTGACTTCATCGTCAATTTTGTTTAAACTTCGTGCCTCTCATGAACATGTTCAAAAAAAACCAAACAGGTTGAAGTCTGAAGGGGCAAGGTCTGGGCTGTAAATGGGATGAGGGAAAGTTTTTATTTTCTCATGGTCTGCACCGTTTGGGCTGCTGTGTGAGGCCTTTAGAAAAAGTTGTCATGATGCAAGATGACTCCTTCTGACTGATGACCCCTGCGTTTTGTCTTTTATGTCTTTCTTGACCTGCCTCAGCAGTTCACAGTAGATTTTCTGTCAAACTGATTCGATCAAAATGATTCTTTCACCTCACCTCACTTCTGTAGGCCCCCAGGCCTGTCTTCATCCTCAACACTGCTTCATCCTTCTTTAAAAATTTAGCCCACTTGTAGACATTTTTTGGCTGAAACATGTGGCACCATACACAGTTGACATTCTCTTATGGATTTCAACTGGTTTGCATTTTTAAGCAATAAAAAAAATCTTTTAACTGACCATGTTCAATCCTGGAGCATGCTTCTTGGTCAGGTCATCTTTGTTTGTCGGTTTAATTTTCAAAGTTTTTTTTTTCTCTCAAAAAAAATTAAATCCATGTGAAAAAAGCTAAATAAACACAAAAAAAAAAACAAAAAAATAAGTTCTATCTGTTTAAAAGTCCTTAACTGAAAAATTCACCTCATTGAATGACCCTCATAGTTTTTGAAATTGTTACATTGTTGTACAAGTGCCCCACAGTCCAATTAGCTGGTGTGAAATTGAGTCTGTGTTTTGCTATGTGAGACCAGAGTTGGCCGCTCCCACCTACGTGTTCTTTTGAGCATATAAGGATAGCAAAGAAACATGGGAAGACATCGTGATATCAGCAGGAATTGGGAAGCTGATTTACATGGTCAAAGGAAAAAGATTCAAAAAGGCATCATAATCAGCTGCAAAAGAAACAGCGATGAAAGACTGGAAGAACCAATACAAATGTCATATAATGCTTTTAATGTGCTAGCATCACGACAAGGATAAGTCCTAGAAAAATAAAAATAAAGCGTATGGAAGTGCAAGTGAATCCAAGATGGAAACTCTACAAAGTACGTTGGTGAACTCTTCAGAAAGAGGAGGAGGGATACTAATACTAAATAAAATATTTTAAAAGAGCATTCATCTTAAAAGTGGGGATGTTGTAGAGTAAATAGTTCACCCCTGGTGACTATATGAACTACTTTATTATAAAGGCCTCCAAGTAAGAGGAAGCTGTTTGGAGTCTGTCATACGAATATCACTGCAAATAGTCAAAGCAATATTGATACTATCAGAACTTGGAAGAGCATTATAACAATAACATCTGCCTTTGTGTTTGTCTTTGTCAGGTTTTTATAGGGATTGAAATCTGAGAGGGCAGACATCAAATAAATATCCTTGCAGTCAATATTAAGGGCAAAAGAAGATTTCATTAAAGAGGCATAATTGACAATGGATACATCATCTTCGATTGAGAAATTATTGGGACTGAGTTCAAATTCTAGTAGACTCATTAATTCACAAAATTCATCCACACTGAGAAGGGTATTCAGAGTTCCAGCCATAAGGTAAATAGCAAATAGAAGGGTCTATATACAGAATGCTAAAGGTTAAAACTCTGAATTTTGCAAAACCAACCTGGTAGTAGGATGGACTCCATCATTTTTGCCCAAGATTCATACTTTGTCCAACTTTATAACTCTGGAAACCAAGGGAAAAATGATCAGGATACCTTTTTGATGGGATGAAAATAGCATTGAGTAAAAAAATCCTGGCATTGGATTTGATTTTGTCACTGACTTTGTGGGCATCAATGATCAGCTGAGGGACACAAAAGTTTTCAAAGGATTATTAAAAAAACCATAAGGTCACTATAACAAATTTAAAATGGGAGTTGATCAGCAGATTTCAGAAGGAGTCAAAGATGGCAATCAGAAACCAGCAATGACCTCCCTCTTTCATAATTATTCAAGTTGTTACAGAAAAACCTGCTTGTCACAAATACCATGTTCCACTTGCTTGAGAATATCTGCATCCTCCTAGAGATATTATGATTTTATTGACTGTTATTATCATCAGAAAATAATATAGTCAAAAAAAGGTGACTATATTACAAAAAGTCCATTTGTTTATTTTGTCTTCAAAAAGATCAGTAATGGTGAATTTAATTTTATACTTTTGGTGTGATTCAATTCAAGTAACTCATTTAAATAAGAGATTGAATTAATATAGCCATCCCCAATATATAACCCATGGTCAAAAAATCTTGGTGTTTACAATTGAAAACATGTGCATTATGAAATACAACTGTCCATTAATTTTAGTAGAGAAATTCTTTTGTTCTTTTGTTTTTGTAAAAAAAACAGCAATTTCCAAAATTTTCTGTATTTCTTTGTTTTCAGATTCTTTTGCAATATACATTATGCGACCTTTACCCTTTTTTTGCAATATACATTATGCGACCTTTACCCTTTTTTGCAATATACATTATGCGACCTTTTACCCTTTTTTTGCAATATACATTATAACCTTTACCCTTTTTTTGCAATATACATTATGCGACCATTACCCTTTTTTTGCAATATATACATTACCTTTACACTTTTTTTGCAGTATACATTATGTGACCATTACCTTTTTTGCAATACATTATTGGACCTTTTACCCTTTTTTTTTTTTGCAGTATACATTATGCGACCTTTACCCTTTTTTTGCAATATACATTATTAAAACCATTATCCTTTTTTGCAGTATACATTATGGACCTTTACTCTTTTTTTGCAATATACATTATGCGACCTTTTTTTAAATGCAATATACGATATCGTCGATTTTTACTCTTTTTTTGCAGTATACATTATGCGACCTTTACTCTTTTTTGTTTGACTTTTTCGACCTTTACCCTTATTATGCAATATACATTATGCGACCTTTACCCTTTTTATAAATATAATTATGTCTACCTTTACTCTTTTTTGCAAAGTATACATTATGCGACCTTTACTCTTTTTTTGCAGTATACATTATAAACCTTTACTAAACTTGCAGTATACATTAATATGCATTATTACCCTTTTTTTTATAGTATACATTATCTATACCTTTACTCTTTTTTTGTAGGGTATACATTATTCACACCATTACCCTTTTTTTAGCAGTAAACATTATCGACCTTTAATCTTTTTTTGCAATTATACATTAATTTCGACCATTACCCTTTTTTTTTGCAGTATACATTATGCGACCTTCTCTTTTTTTGCAGTATACATTATGCGACCATTACCTTTTTTGCAGTATACATTTATGCGACCTTTACTTTTTTTGCAGTATACATTATTTTTATGTCGACCTTTTACTTTTTTTTTACAGTATACATTATGCGACCTTTACTCTTTTTTTTTTGCAAAATACATTATCGGGCGACCATTACCCAAAATTTTTATGCACCTTTACAATTTTTTGCAATTATACATTGTCGACCATTACTCTTTTTTGCAGTATACATTATGCGACCTTTACCCTTTTTTTTAGTATACATTGTCGACCATTACTCTTTTTTATATACATTATGCGACCTTCTCTTTTTTTTGCAGTATACATTATTTAATTACCCTTTTTTTCAGTATACATTATTACCTTTAAATTTTTTGCAGTATACATTTTCGACCATTACTCTTTTTGCAGTATACATTATGCGGACCTTTTTTTTTTACTCTTTTTTTGCAGTATACATTATTAAACCTTTACTCTTTTTGCAATACATTATGGGTTCGTTTTTTTTTCCAGTATACATTATGCCGACCTTTACTCTTTTTTTGCTATACATTATGAACGACCATTACCTTTTTTTTTCATTATACATTATCTGACCTTTACTCTTTTTTTTGCAGTATACATTATCTGACCTTTACTCTTTTTTTTTTGCAGTATACATTATGTTTACTCTTTTTGTATTACCCTTTTTTTTCAGTATACATTATGCGACCTTTACTCTTTTTTTTTCTCTATACATTATGCGAGTAATACTCTTTTTTTCTATACATTATTTTTCCATTACCCTTTTTTTTTTTTGTATACATTTGCGACCTTTACTCTTTTTTTGCAGTATACATTATCGACCTTTACTCTTTTTGCAGTATACATTGTAAACCATTACCTTTTTTTTTTGTATTTATGCGACCTTACTCTTTTTTTTGCAGTATACATTATGACCTTTACTCTTTTTGCAGTATACATTATGCACCTTTTACTCTTTTTTTTTTGCAGTATACATTATGCGACCTTTACTCTTTTTTTTAGTATACATTATGCATTACCGACCTTTACTCTTTTTTGCAGTATACATTATGTGACCTTTACCCTTTTTTTTGCAGTATACATTATGCGACCTTTACTCTTTTTTGCAGTATACATTATGATTTTTACCTTTTTTTGCAGTATTTATTGTCACGACCTTCTCTTTTTTGAAAGTTTATACGACCTTATTGTTTTTTGCAGTATACACTATGCGACCCTTTTTTGCATGTATACATTATGAAACCATTACCTTTTTTTTGCAGTATACATTATGCGACCACTACCCTTTTTTTAAATTGTTAACTACCTTTCCTTTTTGCAGTATACATTATAAAATTTTTACTCTTTTTTTTGCAATTGTATACATTATGCGACCTTTACTTTTTTTGCAGTATACATTATGCCATTTGGCTTTTTTTGCAGCATTTATGCCTTTTTTTTTTTGCAGTATACATTATGCGACCTTACTCTTTTTTGCAGTATACATTATGCGACCTTTACTCTTTTTGCAGTATACATTATGCGACCTTTACTCTTTTTTTGCAGTATACATTGCGCGACCATTACCCTTTTTTGCACTCTTTTTTTTGCAGTATACATTGTACGACCATTACCCTTTTTTGCAGTATACATTATGCGACCATTACCCTTTTTTGCAGTATATTATGCGACCTTTACTCTTTTTTTGCAGTATACATTATGCGACCATTACCCTTTTTTGCAGTATACATTATCGACCTTTACTCTTTTTTTGCAGTATACATTGTCGACCTTTACTCTTTTTTTGCAGTATACATTATCGCGACCATTACTCTTTTTTGCAGTATACATTGTCACGACCTTTACCTTTTTGCAGTATACATTATCGACCATTACCCTTTTTTTGCAGTATACATTATGCGACCTTTACCCTTTTTTTTTGCAGTATACATTATGCGACCTTTACTCTTTTTTACGGTATACATTATGCGACCTTTTTTTTTTTGCAGTATACATTATCACGACCTTTTTTTTTTGCAGTATACATTGTCACGACCATTACCCTTTTTTTTTGCAGTATACATTATCGACCATTACCCTTTTTTTTGCAGTATACATTATGCGACCATTACCCTTTTTTGCAGTATACATTATGCGACCTTTACTCTTTTTTGCAGTATACATTGTCGACCATTATCTTTTTTTTTTGCAGTATACATTATCGACCTTTACTCTTTTTTTTGTATACATTATCGACCTTTACTCTTTTTTGCAGTATACATTATGCGACCTTTACCCTTTTTGCATTATACATTATACGACCATTACTTTTTTTTTTTGTATACATTGTCGACCATTACCCTTTTTTTGCAGTATACATTATCGACCTTTACCCTTTTTGCAGTATACATTATCGCGACCTTTACTCTTTTTTTGCAGTATACATTATACGACCTTTACTCTTTTTTTGCAGTATACATTATACGACCATTACCCTTTTTTTGCAGTATACATTATGCGACCATTACCCTTTTTTGTATACATTATACCTTTTTTTTTTGCAGTATACATTATGCGACCTTTACTCTTTTTTTGCAGTATACATTATCGACCTTTCTTTTTGCGGTATACATTATGCGACCTTTACTCTTTTTGCAGTATACATTATGCGACCATTACCCTTTTTTTGCAGTATACATTATGCGACCATTACCCTTTTTTTTGCAGTATACATTATCGCGACCTTTACTCTTTTTTTTTTTTGCAGTATACATTATGCGACCATTACCCTTTTTTGCAGTATACATTGTGCGACCTTTACTCTTTTTTGCAGTATACGTTATACGACCTTTACCATTTTGCAGTATACACCTTTACTCTTTTTTTGCGGTATACATTAATGCGACCTTTACCCTTTTTTTTGCAGTATACGTTATGCGACCATTACTCTTTTTTTTGCAGTATACATTATCGACCTTTACTCTTTTTTTGCAGTATACATTATGCGACCTTTACTCTTTTTTGCAGTATACATTATCGACCATTACCCTTTTTTTGCAGTATACATTATGCGACCTTTACCTTTTTTTGCAGTATACATTATGCGACCTTTACCCTTTTTGCGGTATACATTATGCGACCTTTACTCTTTTTTGCAGTATACATTATGCGACCTTTACTCTTTTTTTTGCAGTATACATTATCGACCATTACCTTTTTTTGCAGTATACATTTATCACGACCATTACCCTTTTTGCAGTATACATTATGCGACCATTACCCTTTTTTTGCAGTATACATTATCGACCTTTACTCTTTTTTTTTGCATACATTATGTGACCTTTACTTTTTTTTGCAGTATACATTATGCGACCATTACCCTTTTTTGCAGTATACATTATGCGACCATTACCCTTTTTTTGCAGTATACATTATGCGACCATTACCCTTTTTTTTGCAGTATACATTATTTTTTTGGTAGTTTACCTTTTTTGCAGTATACATTATGCGACCATTACCCTTTTTTTGCAGTATACATTATGCGACCATTACCCTTTTTTGCAGTATACATTATGCGACCATTACCCTTTTTTGCAGTATACATTATGCGACCTTTACTCTTTTTTTTTGCAGTATACATTATGCGACCTTTACTCTTTTTTGCAGTATACATTATCGACCTTTACTCTTTTTTTGCAGTATACATTATGCGACCATTACCTTTTTTTGCAGTATACATTATGCGACCTTTTACTCTTTTTTTTGGTATACATTATGCGACCATTACCCTTTTTTTTTTGCAGTATACATTATGCACGACCTTTATTCTTTTTTGCAGTATACATTATCGACCATTACCCTTTTTTTTTTTGTATACATTATGCGACCTTTAATCTTTTTTTGTATACATTATGCGACCCTTTACCCTTTTTTGCAGTATACGTTATGCTTAATTATTACCATTACCCTTTTTTTTGAGTATACATTGCGACCTTACCCTTTTTTTTTGTATACATTATGCGACCTTTACTCTTTTTTTTTGCAGTATACATTGTGCGACCATTACTCTTTTGCAGTATACGTTATGCGACCATTACCCTTTTTTTGCAGTATACATTATGCGACCAACTACTCTTTTTTTGCAGTATACATTATGCGACCTTTACTCTTTTTTTTTGCAGTATACATTATGCGACCTTTACTCTTTTTTTCAGTATACATATACATTATCTTTTTTGCAGCATACATTACCTTCTCTTTTTTTTGCAGTATACATTATGCGACCATTACCCTTTTTTTTGCAGTATACATTATGCGACCATTACCCTTTTTTTTTTTTGCAGTATACATTATGCGACCATTACTCTTTTTTTTTTGCATACATTATGCGACCTTTACTCTTTTTGCAGTATACATTATGCGACCATTACCCTTTTTTTTTTGCAGTATATGTTATACATTGCAGTATACATTATCGACCTTTACTCTTTTTTTTGTATACATTATGCGACCTTCTCTTTTTTTGCAGTATACATTAACCGACCTTTACTCTTTTGCAGTATACATTATAGCGACCTTTACTCTTTTTTTGCAGTATACATTGTCACGACCATTACTCTTTTTTGCAGTATACATTATCACGACCTTTACTCTTTTTTTTGCAGTATACATTATGCGACATTTACTCTTTTTTTTGCAGTATACATTATGCGACCTTTACTCTTTTTTTGCAGTATACATTATGCGACCATTACCCTTTTTTTTGCAGTATACATTATGCGACCATTACCCTTTTTTTGCAGTATACATTATGCGACCATTACCCTTTTTTTTTTGCATTATGCGACCTTTACTCTTTTTTGCAGTATACATTATGCGACCTTTTCTTTTTTTGCAGTATACATTATGCGACCATTACCCTTTTTTTTGCAGTATACGTTATACGACCATTACCTTTTTTGCAGTATACATTATGCGACCTTTACTCTTTTTTTGCAGTATACATTATGCGACCTTTACTCTTTTTTTTGTATACATTATGCGACCTTTACTCTTTTTTGCAGTATACATTATGCGACCTTTACTCTTTTTTGCAGTACATTATGGAGCCTTTATCGTATACATTACCGACCATTACTTTTTTGCAGTATACATTATTCACGACCTTTACTCTTTTTTTTGCAGTATACATTATCACGACCTTTACTCTTTTTTGCAGTATGCATTATGCGACCATTACCCTTTTTTTTGCAGTATACATTATGCGACCATTACCCTTTTTTGCAGTATACATTATGCGACCATTACCTTTTTTTGCGTATACATTATGCGACCTTTACTCTTTTTTTGCAGTATACATTATACGACCTTTACTCTTTTTTGCAGTATACATTATGCGACCTACCCTTTTTTTGCGGTATACATTGCGACCATTACCCTTTTTTGCGGTATACATTATGCGACCTTTACCCTTTTTTGCAGTATACATTGTCGACCTTTACTCTATTTTTTTTTTGCAGTATACATTATCGACCTTTACTCTTTTTTGCAGTATACATTATGCGACCTTTACCCTTTTTTTTTTGCAGTATACATTATGCGACCATTACCTTTTTGCAGTATACATTAATGCGACCTTTACCTTTTTTGCAGTATTTATGCGACCTTTACTCTTTTTTGCAGTATACATTATGCGACCATTACCCTTTTTTGCAGTATACATTATCACCTTTACTTTTTTTGCAGTATACATTATGCGACCATTACCCTTTTTTTTTGCAGTATACGTTATGCGACCATTACCCTTTTTTGCAGTATACATTGCGCGTTACCCTTTTTTTTGCGACCTTTACTTCCTCTTTTTTGCAGTATACATTGTCGTTATTTACTCTTTTTTTTGCAGTATACGTTATGCGACCATTACCCTTTTTTTGCAGTATACATTATGCGACCATTACCCTTTTTTTTTGCAGTATACATTATGCGACCATTACCCTTTTTTTTGCAGTATACATTATGCGACCATTACCTTTTTTTGCAGTATACATTGTCGACCTTTACTCTTTTTGCAGTATACATTATGCGACCATTACCCTTTTTTTGCAGTATACATTATGCGACCATTACCTTTTTTTGCAGTATACATTATCGACCTTTACTCTTTTTGCAGTATACATTATGCGACCATTACCCTTTTTTGCAGTATACATTATGCGACCTTTACCCTTTTTTTGCAGTATACATTATGCGACCATTTTACCCTTTTTTTTTGCAGTATACATTATATGACCTTTACCCTTTTTTGCAGTATACATTATGCGACCTTTACTCTTTTTTTTGCAGTATACATTATCGACCTTTACTCTTTTTTTTTGCAGTATACATTATCGACCATTACCCTTTTTTGCAGTATACATTATGCGACCTTTACTCTTTTTTGCAGTATACATTATCGACCATTACCCTTTTTTTGCAGTATACATTATCACGACCATTACTCTTTTTTGCAGTATACATTATGCGACCATTACCCTTTTTTGCAGTATACATTATGCCTTTACTCTTTTTTGCAGTATACATTATGCGACCTTTACTCTTTTTGCAGTATACATTATCGACCATTTACTCTTTTTTGCAGTATACGTTATACGACCTTTACTCTTTTTTTTGCAGTATACATTATGCGACCTTTACTCTTTTTTTTGCAGTATACATTATGCGACCTTTACCCTTTTTTGCAGTATACATTATCGACCTTTACCCTTTTTTGCAGTATACATTATCGACCATTACTCTTTTTTTTGCAGTATACATTATGCGACCTTTACTCTTTTTTTTGCAGTATACATTATGCGACCTTTACTCTTTTTTTGCAGTATACATTATGCGACCATTACCCTTTTTTTGCAGTATACATTATGCGACCTTTACTCTTTTTTTTGCAGTATACATTATGCGACCATTACTCTTTTTTTTTATACATTATCGTATATTATTACATTTTTTTTTTTTGGTGCGACCATTACCCTTTTTTTTTGCAGTATACATTATGCGACCTTTACTCTTTTTTTGCAGTATACATTATGTTACCTTTACTCTTTTTTTTGCAGTATACATTATCAATGACCTTTACTCTTTTTTTTTGCAGTATACATTTTCGACCTTTACTCTTTTTTTGCAGTATATATTATGACGACCATTTTAATTTTTTTTTTTGTATACATTATGCGACGTTCCCTTTTTGCAGTATACATTATGCGACCATTACCCTTTTTTTTAATCATTTATATTATTTTAACCTTTACCTTTTTTTTTATACATTTAATAACCTTTCTTTCTTTTTTGCAGTATACGTTATCACGACCTTTACATTTTTTTGCAGTATACATTAATCCTTTTTACCCTTTTTTGCAGTATGCATTATGCGACCTTTACCCTTTTTTTTGCAGTATACATTTTTGCGACCTTTACTCTTTTTTTGCAGTATACATTATGCGACCATTACCCTTTCCTTACTAATGTTCACTCATTACAAGTTACATTATGCGACCTTTACTCTTTTTTTTAGTATGAATTTTTGAAGTTATGACCTTTACTTTTTTTTTTTGCGGTATACATTATATATATTTACCCTTTTTTTGAGTATACATTATGCGACCTTACCCTTTTTTTTGCATATACATTATTCGACCATTACCCTTTTTTTAACGTACATTATGCGACCTTCTACTCTTTTTTTTGCAGTATACATTATGCGACCATTACCCTTTTTTTATACAGTACCATACCTTTTTGCAGTATACATTACCCTTTTTTTTTGTATACATTATGCGACCATTTCACACCTTTTTTTTGCAGTATACCATTATGCGACCATTACCTTTTTTGCGGTATAAAATTTTTTGGTTTTTTTGCATTATTACGACCATTACCCTTTTTTTTTTTCAGTATACATTATGACCTTTTAATTAAACGATTGCAGTATACATTGCTACGACCTTTACTCTTTTTTTTTTGTATACATTATGCTCACATTTCCCTTTTTTTGCAGTATACATTATCGACCATTACTCTTTTTTTGCAATATACATTATCTGAATGGCATTACCCTTTTTTGCAGTATACATTATGCGACCATTACCTTTTTTTTGCAGTATACATTTTGCGACCTTTACTCTTTTTTTGCAAGTATACATTAATTTAAAACAAATCTCAAATAAAATGACCATGGGACAAGACCTTTACTCTTTTTTTGCAGTATACATTGTGCGACCATTACCCTTTTTTTGCGGTATACGTTATGCGACCTTTACTCTTTTTTTGCAGTATACATTAACAGACCATTACCTTTTTGCAGTATACATTTATTACGACCTTTACTTTTTTTGCAGTATACATTATGCGACCTTTACCCATTAGGACACCTTCTTTTTTTCAGTATACATTATTGACCATTACCCTTTTTTTTTGCAGTATACTTTATCTTTACCATTACCCTTTTTTGCAGTATACATTATGCGACCTTTAATTTTTTTTTTTTTTTTTTTACTCATTATGCGACCTTATTTTCTTTTTTTTTTTTTTAATTTATACATTATGCGATTTTTTTACCCTTTCTTTTTATTTTTTTGCAGTATACATTTTCGACCTTTACTCTTTTTTTTTATACATTTATTTTTTACCTTTACCTTTTTTTTTTGCCTCTTTTTTGTATACATTATCGACCATTTACCCTTTTTTTTTACTATACATTATACGACCTTTACTCTTTTTTGCAGTATTTACATTTTCCCTTCAGTTACATTATGCGACCTTTACTCTTTTTTGCAGTATACATTATCGACCATTACCCTTTTTTTGCAGTATATTGACCATTACTCTTTTTTTGCATATACATTGTGCGACCATTACCCTTTTTTTTGCAGTATACATTATTGCGACCATTACCTTTTTTTTTTTTTGCAGTATACATTATCGACCTTCTCTTTTTTTTGCAGTATACATTATGCGACCTTTTTTTTTTTTGCAGTATACATTATCGACCATTACCCTTTTTTTTTGCAGTATACATTATGCGACCATTACCCTTTTTTGCGCAGTATACATTATCGACCATTACTCTTTTTTTGCAGTATACATTATGTATTTACTCTTTTTTTTGCAGTATACATTATGCGACCATTACCCTTTTTTACCAGTATACATTATACGACCTTTACCCTTTTTTTGCAGTGTACATTATGCGACCATTACTCTTTTTGCAGTATACATTATGCGACCATTACCCTTTTTTTTTGCGGTATACATTATTTTACCTTTACCCTTTTTTTTTGCAGTATACATTTTCACGACCTTCTCTTTTTGCAGTATACATTATTGTCCCCTTTTTTGCGATACATGTCTCTCTCTTTTTTTGCAGTATATGTTATACGACCTTTACTCTTTTTTGCAGTATACATTATTTTTTTTATTACCTTTTTTGCACTATACTTTTTTTGCAGTATACATTATGCGACCATCCTTTTTGCAGTATACATTATCCTACGACCTTTACTCTTTTTTTTATACATTATCCGACCTTTACTCTTTTTTTGCAGTATACATTATGCGACCTTACTCTTTTTTTTTTTATACATTATCTCGACCTTTACCCTTTTTTGCAGTGTATACATTATGCGACCTTTACTCTTTTTTTAGTATACATTATGCGACCTTTACTCTTTTTATCCTTGTTCAGTACTCTTTTTTTACATTATGCGACCTTTACTCTTTTTTTTTTTATACATTATCGACCATTACCCTTTTTTGCAGTATACATTATGCGACCATTTACTTTTTTTTCAGTATACATTATGCGACCTTTACTCTTTTTTTTTTTATACATTATGCGACCTTTACTCTTTTTTTGCAGTATACATTATGCGACCTTTACTCTTTTTTGCAGTATACATTGTGCGACCTTTACTCTTTTTTTGCAGCTATTTATGCGACCTTTATACATTATGCGACCATTACTCTTTTTTTTTATACATTATCGACCTTTACCTTTTTTTGCAGTATACATTATGCGACCTTTACTTTTTTTTTTATACATTATCGACCTTTACTCTTTTTTTGCAGTATACATTATGCGACCATTACCCTTTTTTTTGCAGTATACATTATGCGACCATTACCCTTTTTTTTGCAGTATACATTATGCGACCATTACCCTTTTTTTGCAGTATACATTATGCGACCTTTACCCTTTTTTTGCAGTATACATTATGCGACCTTTACTCTTTTTTTTGCAGTATACATTATGCGACCATTACCCTTTTTTTGCAGTATACATTATGCGACCATTACCCTTTTTTTGCAGTATACATTATGCGACCATTACCCTTTTTGCAGTATACATTATGCGACCATTACCTTTTTTGCAGTATACATTATGCGACCTTTACTTTTTTTTGCAGTATACATTATCGACCATTACCCTTTTTTGCAGTATACATTATGCGACCATTACCCTTTTTTGCAGTATACATTATGCGACCATTACTCTTTTTTTGCAGTATACATTATGCGACCTTTACTCTTTTTTGCAGTATATACATTATGCGACCATTACCCTTTTTTTGCAGTATACATTATGCGACCATTACCCTTTTTGCAGTATACATTATGCGACCATTACCTTTTTTGCAGTATACATTATGCGACCACCTTTTTTTTGCAGTATACTCTTTTTGCAGTATACATTATGCGACCTTCTCTTTTTTTGCAGTATACATTATGCGACCTTTACTCTTTTTTTGCAGTATACATTATGCGACCATTACCCTTTTTTTTTGCAGTATACATTATGCGACCTTTACTCTTTTTTTTGCAGTATACATTATGCGACCTTTACCTTTTTTTTTTGCAGTATACATTATGCGACCTTTACTCTTTTTTTGCAGTATACATTATGCGACCTTTACTCTTTTTTTGCAGTATACATTATGCGACCTTTACCCTTTTTTGCAGTATACATTATACGACCATTACCCTTTTTTTTTGCAGTATACATTGTCGACCATTACCCTTTTTTTGCAGTATACATTATGCGACCATTACCCTTTTTTGCAGTATACATTATGCGACCTTTACTCTTTTTGCAGTATACATTATGCGACCTTTACTCTTTTTTTTGCAGTATACACCATTACCCTTTTTTTTTTGCCTATTACCCCTTTTTTTTGCAGTATACATTATGCGACCATTACCCTTTTTTTGCAGTATACATTATGCGACCATTACCCTTTTTTTGCAGTATACATTATGCGACCTTTACTCTTTTTTTGCAGTATACATTATGCGACCATTACTCTTTTTTTTGCAGTACATTATGCGACCATTACCCTTTTTTTGCGGTATACATTGTCGACCATTACCTTTTTTTTGCAGTATACATTATGCGACCATTACCTTTTTTTGCAGTATACATTTTGCGACCTTTACTCTTTTTTTGCAGTATACATTATGCGACCATTACTCTTTTTTGCAGTTACATTATCGACCTTTACTCTTTTTTTTGATACGTTATTTTTTTTGCAGCAGTACCCTTTTTTTTTTGCAGTATACATTATGCGACCATTACTCTTTTTTGCAGTATACATTATGCGACCTTTACTCTTTTTTTTGCAGTATACATTATGCGACCTTTTTCTTTTTTGCAGTATACATTATGCGACCTTTACTTTTTTTTTTTTGCAGTATACATTATTATGCGACCATTACCCTTTTTTGCAGTATACATTATCACGACCTTTACTCTTTTTTGCAGTATACATTGTCGACCGACCATTACTCTTTTTTTGCAGTATACATTATCGACCTTTACTCTTTTTTGCAGTATACATTATGCGACCATTACCCTTTTTTTTTGCAGTATACATTATGCGACCATTACCCTTTTTTGCAGTATACATTATCACGACCATTACCCTTTTTTGCAGTATACATTATACATTACTCTTTTTTGCGAGTATACATTACCCTTTTTTACTCTTTTTTTAGTATACATTATCGACCTTTACTCTTTTTTTGCAGTATACATTATCGACCATTACCCTTTTTTTGCGGTATACGTTATGCGACCTTTACTCTTTTTTTGCGGTATACATTATCGACCTTTACTCTTTTTTGCAGTATACATTATGCGACCTTTACCCTTTTTTGCAGTATACATTATGCGACCATTACCCTTTTTTTTGCAGTATACATTATGGAATTTACTCTTTTTTGCAGTATACATTCGACCATTACCTTTTTTGCAGTATACATTATCCATTTACCATTACCCTTTTTGCAGTATACATTATGCGACCTTTACTCTTTTTTGCAGTATACATTATGCGACCTTACTCTTTTTTGCAGTATACATTATGCGACCATTACCCTTTTTTTTAAGTATACATTATGCGACCATTACCCTTTTTTTTGCAGTATACATTATGCGACCATTACCCTTTTTTTTTATGCGGTATACATTATGCGACCATTACCTTTTTTGCAGTATACATTATGCGACCATTACCTTTTTTGCAGTATACATTATGCGACCTTTACTCTTTTTTGCAGTATACATTATGCACCTTTTACTCTTTTTTGCAGTATACATTATGCCCTTTACTTTTTTTTTTTGCAGTATACATTATGCGACCATTACCCTTTTTTTGCAGTATACATTATGCGACCATTACCCTTTTTTTGCAGTATACATTATGCGACCTTTACTCTTTTTTTTGCAGTATACATTATGCGACCTTTACTCTTTTTTTTGCAGTATACATTATGCGACCATTACCCTTTTTTTGCAGTATACATTATGCGACCATTACTCTTTTTTTTGCAGTATACATTATGCGACCATTACCCTTTTTTTGCAGTATACATTATGCGACCATTATTTTTTTTGCAGTATACATTATGCGACCTTACCCTTTTTTGCAGTATACATTATGCGACCATTACCCTTTTTTTTTGCAGTATACATTATGCGACCTTTTACTCTTTTTTTTTTTGCAGTATACATTATGCGACCTTTACTCTTTTTTTTTTGTATACATTATGCGACCATTACCCTTTTTTGCAGTATACATTATGCGACCATTACCCTTTTTTGCAGTATACATTTACCCTTTTTTGCAGTATACATTATGACCTTTTTCTCTTTTTTTTGCAGTATACATTATGCGACCATTACCCTTTTTTGCAGTATACATTATGCGACCTTTACTCTTTTTTTTTTTGCAGTATACATTATGCGACCTTTTTACTCTTTTTTTGCAGTATACATTATGCGACCATTTTTTTGCGACCATTACCCTTTTTTGCAGTATACATTATCGACCATTACTCTTTTTTTTGCAGTATACATTATGCGACCATTTACTCTTTTTTTTGCAGTATACATTATGCGACCATTACCCTTTTTTTTTTTTGCAGTATACATTATGCGACCTTTTACTTTTTTGCAGTATACATTATGCGACCTTTGCTCGACCTTTTTTTTTTTTGCAGTATACATTATGCGACCATTACCCTTTTGCAGTATACATTATGCGACCATTACCCTTTTTTTTTGCAGTATACATTATGCGACCATTACCCTTTTTTTGCAGTATACATTATGACCTTTACTCTTTTTTGCAGGTATACATTATGCGACCTTTACCCTTTTTTGCAGTATACATTATCGACCTTTACTCTTTTTTTTTGGTATACATTATGCGACCTTTACTCTTTTTTTGCAGTATACATTATGCGACCATTACCCTTTTTTTGCAGTATACATTATGCGACCTTTACTCTTTTTTTGCAGTATACATTATGCGACCTTTACTCTTTTTTTTGCAGTATACATTATGCGACCATTACCCTTTTTTTGCAGTATACATTATGCGACCATTACCCTTTTTTTGCAGTATACATTATGCGACCATTACCCTTTTTTTGCAGTATACATTATGCGACCATTACCCTTTTTTTGCAGTATACATTATGCGACCTTTACTCTTTTTTTTGCAGTATACATTATGCGACCTTTACTCTTTTTTTGCAGTATACATTATGCGACCTTTACTCTTTTTTTTGCAGTATACATTATGCGACCATTACCCTTTTTTTTTTTTGGTATACATTATGCGACCATTACCCTTTTTTGCAGTATACATTATGCGACCATTACCCTTTTTTGCAGTTATACATTATGCGACCTTTACTCTTTTTTTTGCAGTATACATTATGCGACCTTTACTCTTTTTTTTGCAGTATACCGACCTTACCTTTTTTGCAGTATACATTATGCGACCTTTACCTTTTTTGCAGTATACATTATGCGACCATTACCCTTTTTTTGCAGTATACATTATGCGACCATTACTCTTTTTTTTGCAGTATACATTATGCGACCATTACCTTTTTTTTTGCAGTATACATTATGCGACCTTTACCCTTTTTTTTTTTTTTGTATACATTATGCGACCTTTACTCTTTTTTTTGCAGTATACATTATGCGACCATTACCCTTTTTTTGCAGTATACATTATGCGACCATTACCCTTTTTTTTCAGTATACATTATGCGACCATTACCCTTTTTTTTACAGTATACATTATGCGACCATTCCCCTTTTTTTGAAGTATACATTATGCGACCATTACCTTTTTTTTGCAGTATACATTATGACCATTTACCATTTTTTTTTTTTTTTGCAGTATACATTATGCGACCATTACCCTTTTTTTTTTGCAGTATACATTATGCGACCTTTACTCTTTTTTTTTTTGTATACATTATGCGACCATTACCTTTTTTTTGCAGTATACATTATGCGACCTTTTTTTTTTTTTTTTTTTTTTATACATTACCTTTTTTTTTGCAGTATACATTATGCGACCATTACCCTTTTTTGCAGTATACATTATGCGACCTTTACTTTTTTTTTGCAGTATACATTATGCGACCATTACCCTTTTTTGCAGTATACATTATGCGACCTTTTTTTTACTCTTTTTTTTGCAGTATACATTATGCGACCTTTACCTTTTTGCAGTATACATTTTTACTTTTTTTTTGCAGTATACATTATGCGACCATTACCCTTTTTTTGCAGTATACATTATGCGACCATTACTTTTTTTTGCATACATTATCGCGATCCATTACTTTTTTTGCAGTATACATTATGCGACCTTTACTCTTTTTTTTTTTTGCAGTATACATTATGCGACCATTACCCTTTTTTTTGCAGTATACATTATTATGCGACCATTACCCTTTTTTTTGCAGTATACATTATGCGACCATTACCCTTTTTTTTGCAGTATACATTATGCGACCTTTACTTCTTTTTTGCAGTATACATTATGCGACCTTTACTCTTTTTTTGCAGTATACATTATCATTCGTCATTACCCTTTTTGCAGTATACATTATGCACCTTTATCACATTATGACCATTACTCTTTTTTTGCAGTATACATTATGCGACCTTTACCCTTTTTTTTGCAGTATACATTATGCGACCATTACCCTTTTTTGCAGTATACATTATGCGACCTTTACTCTTTTTTGCAGTATACATTATGCGACCTTTACTCTTTTTTGCAGTATACATTATGCGACCTTTTACTTTTTTTTGCAGTATACATTGTGCGACCATTACCCTTTTTTGCAGTATACATTATGCGACCTTTACCCTTTTTTTGCAGTATACATTATGCGACCTTTACTTTTTTTTTGCCCATTTTTTTTTTTTGCAGTATACATTATGCGACCTTTACCCTTTTTTTTTTTTTTGCAGTATACATTATGCGACCATTACCCTTTTTTTTGCAGTATACATTATGCGACCATTACCTTTTTTGCAGTATACATTATGCGACCTTTACTCTTTTTTTACCAGTATACATTATGCGACCTTTACTCTTTTTTTTGCAGTATACATTATGCGACCTTTACTCTTTTTTTTGCAGTATACATTATGCGACCATTACCCTTTTTTTTGCAGTATACATTATGCGACCATTACCCTTTTTTTGCAGTATACATTATGCGACCTTTACTCTTTTTTTGCAGTATACATTATGCGACCATTACTCTTTTTTTGCAGTATACATTATGCGACCTTTACTCTTTTTTTGCAGTATACATTATGCGACCTTTACTCTTTTTTTTGCAGTATACATTATGCGACCATTACCCTTTTTTTGCAGTATACATTATGCGACCTTTACCCTTTTTTTGCAGTATACATTATGCGACCTTTACTCTTTTTTTGCAGTATACATTATGCGACCTTTACTCTTTTTTTTGCAGTATACATTATGCGACCATTACCCTTTTTTTGCAGTATACATTATGCGACCTTTACTCTTTTTTTGCAGTATACATTATGCGACCTTTACCTTTTTTTTGGTATACATTATGCGACCTTTACTCTTTTTTTGCAGTATACGTTATGCGACCTTTACTTTTTTTTTGCAGTATACATTATGCGACCATTACCCTTTTTTTTTGCAGTATACATTATGCGACCATTACCTTTTTTTGCAGTATACATTATACGACCATTACTCTTTTTTTTGCAGTATACATTATGCGACCATTACCCTTTTTTTTTGCAGTATACATTATGCGACCATTACCCTTTTTTTACAGTATACATTATGCGACCATTTACCCTTTTTTTTTGCAGTATACATTATGCGACCATTACCCTTTTTTGCAGTGTACATTATCACTTTACTTTTTTTTTGCAGTATACATTATGCGACCATTACTCTTTTTTTTGCAGTATACATTATGCGACCATTACCCTTTTTTTGCAGTATATTACCCTTTTTTTTTTTGCAGTATACATTATGCGACCATTACCTTTTTTTTTGCAGTATACATTATGCGACCTTTTTTTTTTTTGCATATACATTTGCACCATACATTTTTTTGCAGCGACCTTTACTCTTTTTGCAGTATACATTATGCGACCTTTACTTTTTTTTGCAGTATACATTATGCGACCTTTACTCTTTTTTTTTTTTTGCAGTATACATTATCGACCATTACCTTTTTTTGCAGTATACATTATGCGACCATTACCCTTTTTTTGCAGTATACATTATGCGACCATTACCCTTTTTTTGCAGTATACATTATGCGACCTTTACTCTTTTTTTTGCAGTATACATTATGCGACCATTACCCTTTTTTTGCAGTATACATTATGCGACCATTACCCTTTTTTTGCAGTATACATTATGCGACCATTACCCTTTTTTTTTTGCAGTATACATTATGACCATTACCCTTTTGCAGTATACATTATGCGACCTTTAAACTTTTTTTGCAGTATACATTATGTATACATTATGCGACCTTTTAAAAATTTTTGCAGTATACATTATGCGACCATTACCCTTTTTTTTGCAGTATACATTATGCGACCTTACTCTTTTTTTTGCAGTATAAATTATGCGACCTTTACTCTTTTTTTGCAGTATACATTATGCGACCATTACTCTTTTTTTTGTATACATTATGCGACCATTACCCTTTTTTTTTTTGCAGTATACATTATGCGACCATTACCCTTTTTTTTTTGCAGTATACATTATGCGACCATTACCCTTTTTTTGCAGTATACATTATGCGACCATTACCCTTTTTTGCAGTATACATTATGCGATACATTACTTTTTTTTTTTTTTTGCAGTATACATTATGCGACCTTTACTCTTTTTTTTTGCAGTATACATTATGCGACCTTTACCCTTTTTTTTTTTTTATATGCAGTATACATTATGCGACCATTACCCTTTTTTTTGCAGTATACATTATGCGACCATTTACTTTTTGCAGTATACATTATGCGACCATTACCCTTTTTTTTTTTGCAGTATACATATACATTATGCGACCATTACCCTTTTTTGCAGTATACATTATGCGACCTTTACTCTTTTTTTTAAGTATACATTATGCGACCATTACCCTTTTTTTTTTTCAGTATACATTATGCGACCATTACCCTTTTTTTGCAGTATACATTATGCGACCTTTACTCTTTTTTTTGCAGTATACATTATGCGACCTTTACTCTTTTTTTGCAGTATACATTATGCGACCATTACCCTTTTTTTTGCAGTATACATTATGCGACCATTACCCTTTTTTTTGCAGTATACATTATGCGACCATTACCCTTTTTTTGCAGTATACATTATGCGACCATTACCCTTTTTTTGCAGTATACATTATGCGACCTTTACTCTTTTTTTTGGTATACATTATGCGACCATTACCCTTTTTTGCAGTATACATTATGCGACCTTTACTCTTTTTTTTGCAGTATACATTATGCGACCATTACCCTTTTTTTTTTTTGCAGTATACATTATGACGACCATTACCCTTTTTTTGCACCTTTTACATTATGCGACCATTACCCTTTTTTTTATACATTATGCGACCATTCCCTTTTTTGCAGTATACATTATGCGACCATTACCCTTTTTTGCAGTATACATTATGCGACCATTACCCTTTTTTGCAGTATACATTATGCGACCTTCTTTTTTTTGCAGTACATTATGCGACCTTTTTTTTTTTTTGCGACCATTGACCCTTACTTTTTTTTTGCAGTATACATTATGCGACCATTACCCTTTTTTTTTTGCAGTATACATTATGCGACCATTACCCTTTTTTGCAGTATACATACATTAATCGACCATTACCATTTTTTTTTGCAGTATACATTATGCGACCTTTACCTTTTTTTTTTTGCACATTATCCCTTTACTCTTTTTTTTCAGTATACATTATGCGACCATTACCCTTTTTTTTGCAGTATACATTATGCGACCATTACCCTTTTTTTTTTGTAGTATACATTACATTACATTATGCGACCTTTACTCTTTTTTTTGCAGTATACATTATGCGACCTTTACTCTTTTTTTTGCAGTATACATTATGCGACCATTACCCTTTTTTTTGCAGTATACATTATGCGACCATTACCCTTTTTTTGCAGTATACATTATGCGACCTTTACTCTTTTTTTGCATTAATATACATTATCACGACCTTTAGACCATTCTTTTTTTGCAGTATACATTATGCGACCATTACCCTTTTTTTTCGAGTATACATTATGCGACCTTTTTACTCTTTTTTATGCAATATACATTATGACCTTTTACTCTTTTTTTGCAATATACATTATGCGACCATTACCCTTTTTTTTTTGTATACATTATGCGAACATTTTGCTTTTTTGCAGTATACGTTATGCGACCTTTTTATGCAATATACATTATTTTTTTTTTTGCAGTATACATTATGCGACCATTACTTTTTTTTGCAGTATACATTATAAGACCATTACCCTTTTTTTTTTTGCAGTATACATTGTCAAACCTTACCCTTTTTTGCGGTATACATTATGCGACCATTACCCTTTTTTTGCAGTATACATTATGCGACCATTACTCTTTTTGCAGTATACATTATGCGACCTTTACTCTTTTTTTTTTTGCAGTATACATTATGCGACCATTACCCTTTTTTTTTGCATTATACATTATTTTTTTTGCAGTATACATTACCCTTTTTTTTTTTTGCAGTATACATTATGCGACCTTTACTCTTTTTTGCAATATACATTATGCGACCTTTACTCTTTTTTTGCGGTATACATTATGCGACCATTACCCTTTTTTGCAGTATACATTATGCGACCATTACCCTTTTTTTTTTTTTCCCTATACATTATGCGACCTTTACTCTTTTTTTGCAATATACATTATAGCGACCTTTACTCTTTTTTTTAAGTATACATTATGCGACCATTACTCTTTTTTGCAGTATACATTTCGATCTGCGACCATTACCCTTTTTTTTTTTGCATATACATTATGCGACCTTTACCTTTTTTTGCATATATTATGCGACCTTTTCTTTTTTGTATACATTATGCGACCTTTACTCTTTTTTTGCAGTATACATTATGCGACCATTACCCTTTTTTGCAGTATACATTATATACACCTTTATAAACCCTTTTTGCAGTATACATTATGCCCCTTTACTCTTTTTTGCAGTATACATTATGCGACCATTACCCTTTTTTTTGCAGTATACATTATGCGACCTTTACTTTTTTTTGCAATATACATTATACGACCTTTTACTCTTTTTTTTGCAGTATACATTATCGACCATTACCCTTTTTTTCAGTATACATTATGTTCACCTTTAACTCTTTTTTTGCAGTATACATTATTTTTTATAGTATACATCATTCACCATTACCCTTTTTTTTCAGTATACATTATCGACCTTTACTTTTTTTTGCAATATACATTATCGCGAATATAACTACTCTTTTTTTGCAGTATACATTATGCGACCATTACCCTTTTTTTGCAGTATACATTATGCGACCTTTACTCTTTTTTTTGCAGTATACATTATGCGACCTTTACTCTTTTTTAACCTGTTGTTGGGTGAAACCAATCATGCCAGAAATGCAGCATTTTACCTGTAAACAGAAATCAAAACAGGCAAAAATGCATTGAAATCTTTCTACATGAAATGAGTGACTCAAATACATTTCATGTTGTGGAGGTTGAAATGGATAACCAGGAAGACAGAATCTTCTTGTTGTTGTTACTGTTGTGGAGGTTAATTCTTTCTCCACCTCAGCAAATGTAAATTTAAGTAAAAAGAATACATTGAGTATGGGAAAATAAATGTATAAGTTATTTGTAAGAGACAAGAAAATCAATAATGGTGAATTTAATTTTATACTTTTAGTGTGAATTTATAGGATACAAATCCTATATCATTCCAACAAATGACTAAAAAAACACAAAGTAGATTTGCACACCCGCAAAATCGGATCAAAACGACTAAAAACAGATTTCGCAATAAGGTGTGAAATTAATTTTCTGACCAATGAACGGAGGCGATTTGCTAAACCAAAAAAAAGATAACGAGCCAGTGTGAAAGAAAGTCAACGATAAATAGAGAGTTTCAAGTCAGTCACCAGTCAGAAGGGCGCAGAGATCATAGAGGACAGAAGACTGACAGTCAATTCCATCACTGACTCAACCCGACACTAAGAGCCGAAAGTGGAGTAAGAAAGGAAAATAACAACAAATTTACAACTAACTCCAAAACAATTCAACACGATAAGTACATTTTCCTCTTATCTTTTATTTCTCATCCACACTCTCTTTTTCAACTTAAATTGATCGCCCCTTTTTCATTTTACAACTATACAAAAACAAAAGAAACAGACATTACACTGCTACTCTGTTAAAAGACAACGAACACAGACATTTTTGTCAAAATCACATTTTGCTTAAACGACCTAAAGCATTAATAATTTTTACCCTATTCATAAGATAATAAATATACAATGTTCTATTTTCTACAAACGTTCCTTATCGTGAACTGAAAGAAATTACTTGATAAATACAAAATGAATGCCTTATTTTCATAGATTTTTTTTTTTTTTTAACTGACCAGTCCAGGGAATGTAAATACTGTGTAGATTCTCCAATTTTACTTACAGGAGAAAGTTTTTCAGAGTTAATTGTTGTTATTATTTCAAGTATTCACCTGTAAACTTAAAATTTTATTGATCATGTAACATAGGCATAACATTATAGGAAATCCTTGTGAATATATATTTACCTGTAGCTAATAAAGATGATTATATATGAATCATGGAATAATCATTTATTAATGAAATCTTCAAAAATAAAATATACATTTCAGAAACATAAAAAAAAATTAAGTTTTCAAGGAGGATATATTTGGTAACAAAGAAAAGAATACTGAACTGTTACGTGACACCTGTCCTTCATTACGGCAGTGAATGTTAGACGATTTCCTCAAAGATGAAGAAGAGACTTTTTTGACAGAAATGTGCCAGTTCTTTCAGAAAGATGCTCCAAGGATATCATGGACTGATCCTGTGTTTGCAACGATTAGATTAGATTAAGAATAGAGGCTTATAGTTAATATCAGGAAGAGGCAGCTGAAGTTTCTGGGACATATAATGAGGAAGGAGGGCCTGGAGAATCTGATACTCACATGTCGAATAGAGGAAATAGAGACAATGGAAAACAATGCACGACATACCCATCCAAACTTAAGAAAGTGGATGACAGAACGTGGTCTGGAGGAAGGAAGCAGAGGAAGGAACTTGTTGAGAGCTGCAAAGGATAGAGGGAGGTGGAGAGCCATGATCGCCTACGTCCTGAAAGGACTTCAATTCATAGAAAGAAAAGAAAGAAGTTTTTAATTATTATAAAAATTGAAAAAATATTTTAGTTTAATATATAGGAGAAAAGTATAATTTTTAACATGGAGAGCTTGTTTTTTCTGATGTGTTAGGTAATTTATTGACAGACTGATGTTTATGAAATTTAAATAAGAGGGACTGAACTGAAAGAAATTACTTGATGAATACAAACATGAATTCATCAATTTATTTCTGTAGATTTTCTTTTTTCTTGTAATCAACCAGTCCAGGGAATGTTTGTATATATTCTCCAATTTCTTTAGTTTACAATGAATGTCTTTCAGAGATAATGGTCATGATTTCAATTATTTATCTGTAATGAAAATCTTATCGATCATGTAACATAGGCATAACTAAATGAATATATATTTACCTGTAGCTAATAAAAATGGTCACATATGCATCATGGAATGGTCATTTGTCATTCTAATCTTAAAATAACTAGACTACACCCACCTTGACCCTTTGGGTCCACCTTGTGTTCTTTACTGTTTACATTTAGTTTCATGAAGACTTTGTGAAAATAGAGATATTTTGAAAATACATTTATTTGTAGTTAATTTAAAAAACATATAAATCATTTTATTAAATTTTATATTTATTTACAAAAAAAAAAACACTTTTTATTTTTAATATTTTTTGCTCATTTAAAGTATATTACCCGTGACCTGTTTTTTTCAGTGAACATTCAGATTATAAAACATTGAAGTTGTTTTTTTGACATTAAAATAAAATTGTCTATTTGAAGAAAGTTGAAATAAAAATACTTACTCTATAAACAAATCATATTTTTAAATCATCTATATTACCCATGATCCATTGAGTCACTGAAAGGTAAACATTCTAAACAGTGAAGTTGCTTTCAATTAAAAAAAATTTAAAATTATAGCATGAAAGGTATATTTTTGAACATGGAGAGGACAATTATTTCTGATGTGTTGGGTAATTTATGAACAACCTGATGTTCAAAAAATTTAAGTGAGAGGAACTGAACTGAAAGAAATTACTTGATGAATACAACATAAATGCCTTATTTCTATAGATTTTGTTTTTTCCTGTAACTGACCAGTTCAGGGATGGCAAATGCTGTATAGATATCTCCAATGACTTTATGTTAACAAGAGAAAATCTTTCAAAAGATAATTGTTGTTATTATTTTATTATTGACCTGTAATTAAAATTTTATTGATCATGTAACAGGCATAACTAGATAGAAATCATTATTAGCATATATTTGTCCTGTAGCTTATTCTTCCTCTGGTCATATATGTTTATGAAATGGTCATTTTTCAAAATAATCTTAAAATAGAAAAGAGTTTGAAATTTAGTGAAAAAAGTAAACTTATGAGTATGTTCTGTTTTATATTTATTATAATAATGCAATATACATTTGTTTATGTGTGATACAATATTTTCTTAATCATAAATCTTTCGATGGCATGACTAACGAGGCAGATTTTTTTTCCTGCAGGGTTGCCATTTTTTTCTGCATTAAACCAGTTGCCATCCAAGGCTATTGAACCTAATCTATTCTGCTTTTTTTTCATAGCTGGGGGGAAGAAGAAGCGG